GCTGCACCACCGTAATAATCATCATCGGTGGAAAACAAAATAAAAACATCAAGGTAATGTAAACAGTACTGCGCAGGCCGCGCGTTGGCGCGCGCGGTGCCCGCAGCGCCGCCAATGCTGCCAATACAACGTAATCGACGTAATAGCGGGCAGCCAGGGCAGCCAGGGCCGCACCGGCCGGCTCGCGCGGCTGCCGCGGCAGCGTGAAAGTTGTTGTGTTGGCCACTCTGCCTCGCCGCGCTCCGCACCGCCCCACAGTGGGCCAGAAGACCGGCGCAGGCGGACAAAACTCTAGACGCGTTTTGAGCTGCAGAGTCGGTGAACAGGCCACGAACCGAACGTGTGACCTCACCAATGGATGCCTCGTTCGGAGAGCAACCCATTGGTGGGGTCACACGTTCGGTTCCAGTCCCACTTAGCGACTCTGGAGCTCAAAACGCGTCCGGGATTTGGACCGCCTCCACCGGTCTTCTGGCCCACTGTGCGCTCCGCACCGCGTGGCTCCAGGCGCCAAGCTCGACGCCACTCCACTGGCCCCACCGGCTCCAGGCGCTCCTTTCGCTGGAGGCGCTGGAGAAGCAGATAACGCGGGCGAGGCCACCGGACGGCCAAAATCGCGGCCTCCCACACACGCACGGCGCACGCACACGGACGGACTGACGGACGGACGGACGGACGGACGGATGGACGGACGGACGGACGGACAGTAAAGTTGAGACAGACAGACAGTTTAGTTGAGACAGACAGACAAATTAGTTTAGACAGGACAGACAGGCAGTTAAGTTCAGACAGGACGGACAGACAGTCTCGTTTAGACGGGACAGACAGACAGACAGGCAGACAGACAGACAGACAGACAGACAGACAGACAGACAGACAGGCAGACAGACAGACAGACAGACAGACAGACAGACAGACAGACAGACCGACAGACAGCGACAGCGGCAAATGCATGTCGGTGCTGTGGGGAATGACCTGATATAAGCCGCGCTGAGGGACAAGCCTAGCGAACGAATGTGTTAGCTAGGCGCTTTACAGTCATCCATGCATGCATGAATACTTAAAGGCAGGGCGCGCACGCACGCAGACACACACACACACACACACACACACACACACACACACACACACACACGAAACAGGGCGGTTAGTTACTTGTGACTCTTGAGGGATGGGAAATCCACATTGCGCCGCGCCAATCCACACCAGCCGCCGTCGCATCGGCCGCTGTTCTCACACCACCGCGTCAACCACGAAGCGAGTCGCGACGACGCCTACACTGTGCGCGCACGCGTGGGCTCGTCGTCGGGGACGTCGTCGGGGACGTCGTCGGGGACGTCGCGGAGGTCGGGGATGGCGCACTGCTCGGCGAGGCGGGCCGCGGCGCGGTGCGGGTTGCACTGCCGGGGCTGCAGCACGCCAGCACGCCGCCGAGCCCCGGCGCGCGCCGGCCGACACGCCGCCCGCCCCTCCACCGTCGGCCACCGCGACGCGCCCCCCGCGCCGCCCGGGCCGGTCCACCTGCAGCACCCCGAAGGCCCCAAGGTGAGTCATGAGTGTCCGGGTCACGGCGGACGGCGCGGACGGCGGCACGCTGGCAGCAGCCCCAACCCAGTCGCCCGGGCGCAGTGTTCCAGTGGGTTCCAGTTGTTGGGGGTCGTGGACGCAAGGATGCCGGTGAGAGGCCGTCGCCGTCGTCATCGGCGCACAGTGGGCCAGAAGACCGGCGCAGGCGGCCGAAACTCTAGACGCGTTTTGAGCTCCAGAGTCGCTAAACAGGACTCGAACCGAACGCGCGTGACCCCACCAATGCATTCCTCGTATTCGTATTCCATTGGTCGACGGGGTATGCGGGTGCTGGGAAAACCTGTGGCCCAACTGTAACGCATTTTACGCTCTATTACGCTCTAGTACGCCTGAACATCATCGGAATTTGCCTAAAAGCAGCCCCAAACAACCCCTAAAATAGGTAAAATCCGGAGAATTTCGGCAATGTCGCGTTTATTACGCAAAATATCACTATCTCCTATGCTTATTACGAACCGAATGATCCGACTATCACGCGAGTGCCAACCCCCTCGGTCAACAACTACCAAAAATACGACTGCTGAACACTCACATTTGTCCGGAGGCGTGGCGTATGATAGCGTGCATGTGCGTGTGTGTGCGTGTGTGTGTGTGTGGTGTGTGTGTGTGCGTGCCTGCGTGTCCAAGTACGAGCGTGTGTGCGTGTGAACGGCCGCTGGCCGCTAGCAGTGCACGGACCGCCGCGCCGCCGCCGAGGCTTCAGGAACTGCTTCCGTAGTTGCACGCGCAACGTTATTCGACTTTGTCACAAGGGACGCACGCTCACACACACAGACACACACACAGACACACACACGCGCACGCACGCACGCACACACACGCACACACACGCACACACACACGCAAAATACAGGCACCGCACTCGGAAATTAGAACGGGAGGTCCCCGAGCGTGGGTTCGTCGTCGCGTTTTGGAGACGCTGCTGCTGCTTCGCTATGCAAACTGATTCCGAGAGTCGTTTTCGTCGCTCTGTCTCTCACACACCACTACGGGACGCCCCATGAGTGCGAGAGAGGCAGAGCGACGAAAACGACTCTCGGAATCAGACTGCTGCCTGGCTGTTTCGGCGCGGAAGCGACCTCGCCGCTAAACAGCGGCTGCGTTTAACGGCCCATGCCGCACGCAGCGCCCCGCAGCGCCACGCAGCGGACTCGCACGAGTCCGTCATCAAGGTGGAGATGGGCAGCGGCTTCCTGGACGCCCCCATCGCGGCCGCCTCGGTATCACGGACGTCGCGGACGTCGTGGACGCACGGAACACCACGGACAGGGCGGCCTTCGGGACCGCCAAAAGAGTACCACCCGCGCGCGCGGGGAACGGCCAAGTAGAAAATGACTAGGTTCCACGTTTCTCAGCTAATGCTCTTTCCTACTTAGGGGAGGTGGGTGTGCTCCTCGGCCACCTGTCTCGAAACGCTGCCATGGATGCACGGCCATTGCAGAGATCACCGCTGAACAATTCGTTGTTCCAGGCTAAACCTCTGTGGGGTCAGATAAATCATGCTCAACTTCATGGGCCAAGCGAGTGCAGTATCGTCATCGACGCCCTTTGGTATTGCTCTGGCTAGTAAACGAACAGGAATGTAATCATTGCTGCAATGAATGAATGAATGAATGAATGAATGAATGAATGAATGAATGAATGAATGAATGAATGAATGAATGAATGAATGAATGAATGAATGAATGAATGAATGAATGAATGAATGAATGAATGAATGAATGAATGAATGGCTTCACCCTCTAATTGTCGTCCTCCTCCCCCTCCTCCTCCTCGCCCTCCTCCTCTCCGTTCGCCACATCCCGGCCGGAAGGTCGCGAGTCTCCTGGTTACTCAATAGCCGTCCATAGTCCGTTCGCCTCGGCCTGCCCCGCCGAGGGCCCCGCCCGTGCATAGTCGGTCCGCGCCAACCACCCCTGGGCCCGCCCCGGCCGAGGCCACGGCCCTCCACCGGCCTCTGCACACCTCCGCCTCCGCACACGGCGCGGGCAGCGCGGGTACACTGCGCCCCAAAAGCGGCAGTCATGCTCCGCGGTACGTTATGTGCAGAGCGGCAGCGAGCCGGCGGGGCCTGCTTGGCGCAGACACGCTACACCGGCAGCAGACTGATTCCGAGAGTCGTTTTCGTCGCTCTGTCTCTCTCGCACTCACGGGGCGTCCCGTGTGGGTGCGAGAGAGACGGCGCGGCGCAAACGACTCTCTGAATCAGTCTGGCGAGCGCGGCAGTGACCGCCGTACCGCGGAGACGGCCAGGGGGAGGGGGGGCAGTGAAAGTGACCGCGGCAGCGCCAGGCCACGCCAGGCAAGGCAACGCCCCCCTCCCTGGACGGTGCGCTTGTGTGTGCAATGGCACGTGCCCCTTCCTGGCTTCCTTATTTTTTTTCGGTTGGAATCGCGCGGTGTCACTCCGTTATGTTGGCGGGCTCGCTTTCCTCGCTCCGGACTGCCCTGACATATTCATAGTGGTGTGGCCGTGGCGGGGCGGGGCGGGGCGGGGCGGGGCGGGGCGGCGTGCTGCACCTGAAGATGCGCCTTGCAGCCTTGCAGTCCGGTAGAAAGCAGGCAAAGCCAGGCAAAGGCAGCAGCAGACCGATTCCGAGAGTCGTTTCCATCGCGCTGTCCTTCTCGCACTCATGGGGCGTCCCGTATGGGTGCGAGTGAGACAGAGCGACGAAGACGACTCTCGGAATCGGTCTGCTGCCCGATGCGCGCGGACGGCCGGACGCGCGGACACTTCCTACTGCAAAGCCGCATTTCTCTAGACCGATGGGTTTCTCCGGGAAGGCCAAATCACCCTTTCCTGCAGATACACTGTTTGACGATAGTTTAATTTGAAATCAGTTCAACTACAACGTGTCTTTATCTGAAATGAGGTCACCGAAGAGAAGCAGAACGCGCCGCCCTGTCATTCTCATTAGTCCGTGACAAGTGCGATAAGCACGGACGACATGTTCTCGTCCTGCTCGGCCAGCTCTCTGTCTCTCTCGCACCGTGGGACGCTCAACGAGTGCGACAGAGACAGAGCTACGGGGCAGTGAGGCTTCTTCTGCACGGCGCACAGTGGGCCAGCAGAAGACCGGTGGAGGCGGCCATAATTCTGGACGCGTTTCGAGCTCCAGAGTCACTGAATGGGACCCGAACCGAACGTGTGACCCCACCAATGGATTGCTCTCCGAACGAGGAATACACTGGTAGGGTCACACGATGGGTTCAAGTCGTGTTTCGTGACTCCGGAGCTCAAAACGCGTACAGAGTTTTGACCGCCTCCACCGGTCGTCTGGCCCACTGTGCGGTGGGCTGCCGCAGTCGCCGCTCTGTCTGTGTCGCACCCCCGCGGGACGCCCTATGAGTACGACAGCTACGGACCGGCCGGCCACCCGGGCTGCACTTCCTCGTCGAGGGAAAGCGCGGCGAACTGTCATGGTTTGTTTATTCTGTTCGCTTGACATTGACATTGGGATCGGCGGAGGGTCCCGGGTTCGATCCCCGTTCAGGAGTCGCTGTGCAGGGAGGGGCGGTGCGCCGCGACGCTGTTGGCCGCCTCCGCCGCCCCCGCAGCCCCCGCGGCCCCAGCGGCCCCCGCCCCCTCCGCCGCCCCCGACGTGGCGTTGACGGCGGCCTCGCCGACGTGGTTGGTGGCGTTGTGGACGGCCTGCACCGCGTCGCCGATGTCGTTGCCCTTGGCGAACGGGAACGTCGGGTTGGTGTAGGCGAAGTACACGCCGCGCGCACTGCAAGCAGACATCGCCGTCGTGGTCATCATCGTCGTCGTCAAGTCGTTACGCAGTCATACCCAGCGGCAGCTGGGATCACACACTGGGACAGAAGACCGGTGGAGGCGGTCTAGGGTTAGGGATGTAAAGGCCGGTAATATTTCCGGTAAAGAACGGTATAATACGGTAAAATACGGTATTTTACGGAGACCCCCGGGAAAATGGGTTTTTTTTCGGTAATTTGAAATATTTACTTTAGGATCCTTCTTTTGCTTCTACACGATGAATTAGGACGTAGGGACTGGAAACAGCGCCCCATGGGAAATCTTGGTTTGTATCTCCCCCTCCCGCCGGCCCATGTACGTGCACTGAGAATCCAAACGCTATGAGTATAGCGTCAATTGGTGCAATGCAAAAGCATTGAAATGAAGTGCAATGCCCCCCATTCCCATGTTAGATAGGGCATTTTCGGGGCTTTGCAGTAAGGTGCAAATGGCTATCGCATGCACGTATGGTGCGATATCCCAGCTGATTGCACCATAGTGCTAATCATAGCGTTTGAATCTCAGTGTGTACGTCATCTTGGGCACTTAAAACAAAGCAAGAAGTCCATGTCTCTTTTTTACAAAACTTGGGGAAATTTAAAATCTAACTACACGACCCAAAACCCAAAATTTCTTTGTTCCCAAGATAAGTATAATGAAAAGTAACTTTAAACAAAAAATAGAAAAAATGGGGGTAGATACTATTAGGTTGGGTTAGCTAAAAAATGCAATAAAATTGACATGATTGGACACCAGGGGCCCGCCGGTGCCTTTCGGGAAAAAAAGGTTTTCCCATGAAATTGAGCCAACTTACATGGACAACAAAAAAAAAGGCGCCTTTTTTTGCACTTCAGTATATTTGGGCTTTTAATTCACAGTCAAAAGAACCAGGCAGGGCTTGGAAGTATGTATGAAACGATGTAACCGATACCCCAACCCCAACGGACCTTTTTTCCCCCTATTTTCACAAGAGGTCCCAAAATCCCCCCCCAAAGTCAAGAAAAAAATTTTCCCCAAATTTTTACCTAATACGGTAAAGTACCGTATTTTACCTTTTTTTACGTAACTTTGAATCTTCCCGGTATTTTTGCATCCCTTTCTAGGGTCCACAGTCGATTTTCGCTCGATTTTGTGTCAAAATGTCAACGACGGACAGTTTCTGACTGAGTAGCCGCAGCTGTGGTCTCGAGCTGAGCCTGAGAGCCCGAGCCTGCGGATGTGCGGTTCGGGACGCACTTCCACTTCCGGAAGCGCAAACACTTCCGGAAAGAGGCTATGCAGATTCGTGGACCACCCCGAGCAACTCCGGACCACCCTGTGTTAATTTTCGCAGCGCCCGCCGAAAAGAGCTGCGAGCGGCCGCGGCCGGCTGCTCCCCCCCCCCCTCTCTCTCTCTCTCTCGACGCTCGGTGAGTGCGACAATCGAGAGAGAGAGAGAGAGAGAGAGAGAGAGAGAGAGAGAGCCTCCCCGTAACGCTGGCAAAACAAAGTTGCTGTTCAAGGTGGCCTTACGCAAATGAAAGTGGTATGCACACCGCGGCGCCGTGCCCGGCCGTACCGCCGCGGGGAGGGCAGGGCCCCGAGGCAGGGAGTATCGCCCGCGCCAGCCTGCTGCCGCGCTCCGCAAAGCACGGCGATACCCCTCGCCCAGTGCTCATATGGGGTCTACATCGTTTAGGGTCCTCAGGGACTACCTGGAATTGGCGTGCTCCCCCATGAGCACCAGCTCCGCGGCGTCGTCCGGCGTGCACAGCCCCGTGTAGAAGGTGATGATGCTGGAGCAACCGAAGCCCCAGAAGCCCTGCGGAGAGGCGATGGACTCCGCGAAGTAGGCGGGGGCGCGCGCGTGGTCGCAGCTAGAGTCTGGAAGGGTGCAGAGCGTTGGTGTATGGGTGTCACAAACTCTCATAAAGTGGGCCAAAGGACCAGCACCGGCGGTCAAAATTCTAGACGCGTTTTGAGCTCCAGAGTCGCTGCATGGGACTCGAACCGACTGTGTGAGCCCATCAATGGATTCCTCGTTCGGAGAGCAATCCATTGTTGGAGTCACACGTTCGGTTCGAGTCCTGTTTCGCGACTCTGGACCTCAAAACCCGCCCGCGATACCTCCGCCGGTCTGCTGGCCCACTGTGCGCCAGGCGAGCCAGGAACACCAGGCACGGATCCAGGACCCTTCCAAGTAGAGTGCTCTAGAGAGTGACTCACCCCAGCTGCAGCCGGGCTGCTGGATGATGCTGTTGAGGTAGAAGTCGAGGTGGCCCGACGGCATCAGCTTGCCCTTCCAGCCCGCGTTCGTGTGGATCACGTCCACGAACTCGGCGTCCGTGGCGTCGAGGCGCGGCGCCGTGGAGATGGTGGTGAAGAGCGGCAGCGCGGGGTCCAGGCCTGGCGGCACGGCAGCGGGGCGCGCCAGGGGCGCGTCAGCGTCGCGTCAGCGAACGGCAAGGCAGGCAAGGCAGGGAGGACGCAAAAGTTGCCTTCTCACAGGGGACAGTGTGCCACAAGTCCGGTGGAGGTGGTCACAATCCCGGACGCGTTTTGAGCTCCAGAGTCGCTAAATGGGACTCGAACCGAACGTGTGTCCGCACCAAATGGATTGCTCTCCGAACGAGAAATCCATTGGTGGGGTCACACGTTCGGTTCGAGTCCTGTCTAGTGACTCTGGCGCTCAAAACGCGTCGAGAGTTCTGTCCGCCGGCGCCGGTCTTCTGGCCCACTGTGCGCTCAACGCCCGACTCCTCACCGGTGATCCTGGTGAGCTGGCCGCTCTGGATGTAGTTGGCGATGTTGCCGGCGACCTGGCCGCCCAAGCTGAAGCCCACGACGTGGATGTCCTCGAGGCGAGTGACGCCCAGCCGCACCATCTCGTCCAGCAGCTGCGCCGTGCAGTTCCCCACCAGCGCCACGTTGTACGTGGCCTGCACGTAGCACGGCGACGGCGCCAGCGGCGACCAATCCACCGAGATAACGTTGTAGTCGCTGTAGTTGAGGTACGCTGCACAGTGGGCCAGAAGACCAGTGGAGGCCGTCAAAATCCCGGACAGGTTTCAGCTTCAGAGTCGCTAGATGGGACTCGAACCGAACGTGTGGCCCCACCAATGGATTGCTCGGAGAACGAGATATCCATTGGTGGGGTCACACGTTCTGTTCGAGTCCCATGTATCGACTCTGGATCTCAAAACGCGTCTAGAATTTTGACCGCCTCCACCGGTCCTCTGGCCCACTGTGCGCTGCGAGGCGGGGAGTCATAATGAGAGAAGAGAACCAAAACAAACAGACAAAAAAACCGTGGGCACGTCTCGTCTTGTCTGAGAGGCCCCGTCAAACACATGGCCTTTACGGCGAGTCATAGAATTATAGCTTTAGTGTCCCATAGACTTGTACGACCGCTCGCACCTTTGGCGCGATGGAGGCAATGGCTTGCTCGAGTCATGGCTGCTCACGGGTCTAAACCAACTCGTGCCCTGGGAGGCCTCCTGGTCGGCGGCCTTGTCAAAACTTCCAACTAGGCCGCCTACCCTACGCGGCGAAAGTTAGCTGCGCTAAGGATAACTTGATACTTAAACTCAATTTCCTCTCCTCCCTTTGTCACCCTACGGACCGATTTCCGAGAGTCGTTTTCGTCGCCGTGTCTCTCTCGCACCTGCGCGGCACGCCCCCTGAGTGTGAGAGAGACAACGACTTTCGGAATCCGTCTGCTGAGATCTCCGCTCGCGAGGAATAAAAACTCTCAAAACTGGCTTTCATTTTTTTAAAGTTTGGCACTACAGGTGGCCGTGGCCCGGCGCCGTTTCGGGCCGCTAGTCTATCGCGGAGGGTGGCAAGCCTGGCACGCCTGCAGACCGATTCCGAGAGTCGTCGCTCTGTCTCTCTCGCACTCATGGGGCGTCCCGTGCGGGCGCGAGAGAGACAGAGCGACGAAAACGACGCGCGGAATCGGTGTGCTGGCGTGAAGGCGGGAGGCGCACGTCCAGACGTCCAGATACGGATAGGGTGACAAGGAACCGCGCTAATACCGGCCGGCTGGGGCGAGGCGTGCTCATTCCGTCTCTCTCGCACCTGCGCGGCCTGTGCGGGCTGTGCGGGACGGCCCGTGAGTGCGAGGGAGACAGAGCGACCTGTTCGGACTGAAGCGTGTGAAGCGACGTGACCGATGGGCCGCCGTCCGGGCGGCAAGGGCGGATCCAGGGACGGGTTGGGGAGGGGGCGCAAAAAGTACGGCCGCGCCTTCCGTGCGCTGCAGCAACGCGAGTGCGACGGCCACCTCGTACAGTGGGCCAGAAGACCGGCGGGGGGACAAAATTCTGGACGCGTTTTAAGCTCCAGCGTCGCTAAATGGGACTCGAACCGAACGTGTGACCCCTCGATCGGAGAGCAATCCATTGGTGGGGTCACACGTTCGGTTTGAGTCCCATTTAGCGCCTCTGGAGCTCAAAACGCGTCCAGAATTTTGCCCCCCCGCCGGTCTTCTGACCCTCTGTGCGTCGGCGCCCTCAAGGAGGCCGTCATCGTGTGCAAGGTCCACCCCTAAAGTACTCCTTACTCGGCGCTTGTTGTTGCTTATCTTCGTTGCACTCCCGAAACGCGCTCCGGCCGGCCCGGCCCGACGGCCCGGCCCCGCCCCACTGCAGTCGCGGCTTGTCGGTGCACTGTGGTGCATGTTCGAGGTCACGCCCAGCCGGACGCGCTACGCGACCACACCAAGGAGCCAGTAGACTGATTCCGAGAGTCGCTTTCGTCGCTCTGTCTTCCTCGCAGCCGTGCGGCACGGAGTGCGGGGAAGACAGAGCGACGAAGGCGACTCCCGGAATCGGCCTGCAGCGCCGCCGAGGGCCCCGCCACGCAACGCCATCGACGCCTGACAATATTTAACACAATCTCGACAGCGAGCCCCAGGAGGCCTGCCTAGCTCAGTAGGTACAGGGATTTCACGAAAACCAAAGTTTGACGTTTTCAACATAGTGGTAACCTGCGGCAACAAGGACGTTCTCGAAAAGTCTGAAATTCATCCCAAAAAATTGAACTTATTGGACTCGGATATTCCAAAGAACCTTCCAAAATCACGATGTCGGACCGCGCGCAGCGTTTCGAACGTCTGCTGGGACGCTGGAGGGTGGGTCGAGGGCGCGCGACGCTTCTTCCGGTGAGCAGGTGATTACGACCATTATTCCAGCGTCGTTGCGAAAGGACAGAGAGACCGCACTAAGAACCCCCACTTGTTTCGCGCGAGCAGACGACGCGGCGCGGCACGCCACGGCGCGCGGCACGACGGCAGCGTCGCGGCATGGTCGCGGCGGGCGTGTCTTGTCGCTATCGCCGCTCCGCCAGACCCGCGTATCTGCCTCGCCCCTGGCCGCCCTGGCCGCCCTGGCCCCGACTTGCGGCGATGTTGGCGCAGCCCGGCGGCGTTTATGCGCGTTTAGGGCTGTCGCTGGCTGTCGCCCGGCGGCCGTTCGGCTTTTAGGAGGTGTAGGAAGTCGCGGAGGTGTCGAGGCTCGCTCGTTAAATGCTCCATTTCTCGGGCCATTCGCACGCGCCGCGCGACAAGCGGCTCGTAAAAGGGGAAGCCCGGCGCGCCGGCCAATCGGAAGGCGCCGTTTTGGCGGGAAATTCGAGGCGCGCTGGGGGATTGGCCGTGGGCGTGGGCCTGAAGATCGGCGGAGGCGGCCGAAATTCTACACGCGCTCTGAGCTCCGGAGGCGCTAAACAGGACTCGAACCCAGCGTGTGACCCCACACTGGTATAACAAAGGCATAAAAATTACGCCCTTTAGGGCATAAATACTCTTTTACGCCCTTCCCAAGGGCATAAATCGTTTTATGCCCTAGCAAAGGGCGTAAATGGTATAGGAATTTCAAGAAAAATTTTAATGCCCTTCCCAGAGGCATTAACTATTTATGCCCTTTAAGGGCATTTCAATGAATTCCTCGTTCGAAGAGCAATCCAGTGGTGGGGTCACACATTCGATTCGAGTTTCATTCATCTACTCCAGAGCTCTAAACGCGTCTAGAATTTTCGCCTCCACCGATCATCTGGCCCACTGTGCTGCCGCTCACCGGGCCGAATCTCGGTATTGGGCGAGTAGTCCTTGTCGCCGGTGTAGCCGTGGATGAGCACTTTCACGGGCTTCCCCCGCGACCAGCGCGCGTACTCGATGGACTCGGGCACGGCCACGTCGAGCTGCTCGGGCTGGCCCACCGTCTCCCTGGTCGCAGCACCGGGAAAAGAAAACGAGTTCAAACGTTTGGATTAACTTTCGCGCTGTTTCGTTGTTATTTCATCGCTACTACGTTGTTGCAACATTCTGCATTGTTAATACATCGTTACTACATCGTTACTACATCATTACTACATCATTACAACATCGTTACTGCATCGTTACTACACTGTTGTTTGTACGTTTCAGCTTCTGCATGTAAAATTAGCACTATTTTCATATGTTTAAACTAGCACAGAACCACACTGCAAACCCGTAGTGTATGTGCTCAGTACACAGTTTGATGCCAAATGTGTGTACACTCAGTGCACGTGAACGCACTTTAGTGCAGAAAGTGTGTACTCAGCAACACTCCAGTTTACAGTGCGTGTGCATGATATCCCTCTACTACGGACAAAATCAAAGGGTGACCTACTGTAAAATTTTGTCGAAAATGATTGTAGGAAATATGTTAGAATGAGCAAGATATCTTGCGTATTGCCACATATGTGTCCTACATACAGCCGCTTTTGCCACCTGAATGAGGGATGTGTTTAAATTTTGTACCATAAATGACGGACATTGACCCACCCACCCTCAGAAAAAAAATAAGACGGGACTCACCGCGTGTACAGCCAGAAGGTGATGTTGCCATTGGGACACTCCGCCTCGGGTCGAATGCAGTTGTCGAAGATCCCGAAGCCCGGCAGCGACAGCCACTTGCCGTCCTCCCCTCCGCCCACCAGCACGTCCAGGTAGTCCTCTGCGTGCCAACCAGTTTTCAATTTTCCAAACAAGGCGAGTTAGTGCAGCGGTTATCAACGTTGGGCTCGCGCAAAAATATCTCTGGGTCGCGGCTTGTGCCTGGGGCTGGGGTCGCCGGGGGCGGCCTGCCTGCAGGGATGCAACTCACCCTCGCCGAGGAGGTCCACGATCTTCCGGGGGTCTAGGACGTCGTCGTCCTCGTCGGACGGGGTGGCCACGACGGCGCCGTGGACGCGGAGCACGGCGATGACGACCACCGCCAGGGCGGCGAGGAGCGGCGCGGCGGCGCGCGCGGACATGGTGCGACTGGACAAGTGCAAGCATTGGGCAGCACCGAATACCGCGCCCCGCCACGCCCCGCCACGCCCCGCCACGCCCCGCGCCCGTCAGGCAACCACGGGCGCACCGGTCTGCTATCTCCAGGCCGCTGGCTTTGGACACCGCCGATAGGACCCCAGCTGGGTTGCCTCCCCCTCCCCCTCCTTGTCTTGACACCTGCGTCGCCCCTGTCGCCTCCGCGTAGTGCACCGCGCTCTATAACTCAGACCGTGGCCGTGTCAGGCGGGCGGGCGGGGCGGGGCGTGTCGGAGCGGCGCCGACGGCGACGTGCGTTTCGAGAGGGATGCAGTGTCAGCCTGCCGGCAGCCGGACCGCCCGCCACGGCCGTCCGACGGGTGGACTACCCGCCGTCTCGCAGGCGCTCCGCCCGGCCATGAGATACCCACTACCCTCGGTAGGACGCCTGGCCACACGGCGTTTTGTGCCCCGGATACCGGTCTCCTGGTCCCACCGGCCCCACGGTGCCGTGCGTGGGGGGAAGTCCCGCGAATCGCAATGTGGTGCCGACTACGAACCTCACGGAACGGCAATGCCGCGACTTCTTATTCAAACTGTCGTCCCGAAAGACGACGATGATGAGGCCTTGCCCGTAGCATTGTTTGACGTAACAACAATTCTCTAGCATTGAGTTTGCCACACTGTTTGATGAAAACGTCCGCGCTCCGGAGGCCCTTGGTTGAGTCTCGAAGTCCCGAAGTTCACGTGCCCTCGAGAGGGCCTAGGGTGGGGCGGGGCACTTCCGCGCCCTCACTGTAAAACCCGCGTCCTCACTGCAAACCTCCGCGCAGACGCTGGTCGCGCAGCTGATCCGGTCCGCGCGGGGTGTCGCCGGCGGCAGTCGCTCGCGGCAGGGAGTATCGCCACGCAACGCCGGGCAGCCAGATCGTTCCGGTATGCTGGCGCCCGACGCGGGCCCCGCCGGGCCGGCTGCCAGCAGACTGATTCCGAGAGTCGTTTTCGTCGATCTGTCTCTCTCGCACTCGTGGCGCGTGCCGTATAGGTGCGAGAGAGACAGAGCGACGACCCTCGGAATCGGTCTACTGCTGCCTCTGCGGATGGCAGCGGCATGGCAGGCCGTCCCGTCCGCAGCGGCGGCGTCGGGCGCCCCGCCCGCCCCGCCCCACCCGCCCCGGGCGGCGCGGCGGGCGCGGCGCGGCCAAAACAACCCCCGGCGCCCCCGTCTCGCTCGCACCCAGGGCGGCCCAGGGCGGCCCAGGGCGGCCGGCGCCGCGGAGCGACAGAGACAGACGAGGGCGGAGCGCGGCGTCGAGACAAGGCGGCCGTACATCTCTCCTACCGCCGCGCTCCGCATTGGCGCAGCAGACTGATTCCGAGGGTCTCTCTCGCACCTATGCGGAACGCCCCATGAGTGCGGGAGGGACAGAGCGACGAAAACGACTCTCGGAATCAGTCTGCTGGCAGCCGGCGACGGGCTCAAAGGGCTGTGGAGCGCTGCGAAGCGCCAAGGGATGTTTGTCGCCCCTGCGCCCGCGGGGCACAGGGCGGCCCGCAGGGCACAACACGGCGCGGCACGGCGCGGCCGCGGCGCAGCAAGTTTCTACTTAGTTTTCAAGTTTCGCCGACGCGCACCCAGGTCCGCCAAGATGGTGCCTCGCAAGAACAAGTCCCCCGTCCCACAGTGGGCCAGAAGACCGCTGGAGGCGGCCGAAATTCTAGATACGCTTTGAGCTGCAGAGTCGCTAAATGGGACTCGAACCGAACGTGTGACCCCCACCGGACTTCTTGCCCCTTAGCCCTCCCCGCCCCCTTCCCTCACCCGAGCAACTCGATCGTCCGCCGTCGGCGACACGACGTTCTTTCCCATTTAAAAACCCTTGTGCTTGTGTAACATCCGCTTGGCGTTATCTTTCGAGTACCATTCACATGAAGGCGTTGGTCGCGTGCGCGTCCGCGGAAAGGAAACCGAGGATTCAAGTGCCTGAACCGGGACGCAGAAGGCGGCAGAAGGCACACTGAACTCCGTACTCGAACCGTGCACGGTGTACTCTTAAGGGCGAGATTGCGATTACGGGAAGCATGGATTACTGAATTGGGGCGGCGCGGGAGTGCAAACTTCGATCTGCGCCTCGATCGCCAGGGAGTTCCCGACATGTGTGAAGTATTACGTTTTCCACGAACTCCGAACCATGCACTGCCTCTGTGATACCTGTAATGCTGGGACTACTGTCCGAGGTGTCGTCAAGGGTGTTGCCCGAAAGTCTGACATAACCATTTAGTAAGACTGTAGTAGGACTGTAGGTATAACTCTGTTCGCGACCCACTCACAGTGAGCCGGAAGACCGGTGGAGGCGGCCAAAACTCTAGACGCGTTTCGAGCTCCAGAGTCGATAAATGGGACTCGAACCGAACATGTGTCCCCACCATTGGATTGCTCTGCGAACGAGGAATCCATTGGTGGGGTCATCACGCGCTCAGTTCGAGTCCTCTTCGGCCACCCTTCGAGGCGCACGCGTTCGGAGTGGCTTCCGTTTCCGGCTCCACCGAGGACCGATTCTGGGAGTCTCACTTGCACTCACGGGGCGTCCCGTGTGGTTGCGAGAGCGACAGAGCGGCGAAAACGACTCTCCGAATCAGTCTGCTGAGGACTGCGGCCGCCCGGAAGTTGATAGGTGGGAATCGGGCGGGCGTGGGAAAGACGGTGGTCGCGCGCGTCGTCTGGGTGAAGGCCGCGGGGTCGCGACAGGGAGGGGGGGCGTTACGTGCGGAGGGTCGCCGTCGTCGGCCCCCGAGCCGCGGCCGCCGTCGCCGACGCTCCGTGACTTGCCGTTGTTTTGACGGGTTAACGTAACGGCAACGCAAAGCAACGGGAAACAAACACGTGTCAATTTTTTCAGCCACGTTATCGAAGCGAAATTGAAGCAACGTCGACCTCCAGTTGAGTTGTGCGAAACTCCTCCTCCTAGCTGTGTAACGATCTTAAATCGCAGACAGCTTCGTTTTGCTCTGTGCGGCTCTGTGGCTAGTTGCGGCGTTGCTGTTCGGACCAACACACCGCCTGCCGTCCGGACGCAGACCTGACCGGTGCAAGTGTGCAGTGTGCACTGCAAGGCCGAGCACAAGGCCCTGCATAAGGCCGAGCCTCCGTACGGCCTCACTGCACGCTCCACAGTGGGCCACAAGACCGGTGGAGGTGGTCAAAATCCCGGACGCGTTTTGAGCTCCAGAGTTCGCTAAATGGGACTTGAACCGAACGTGTAACCCCACCAATGGATTGCTCTCCGAACGAGGAATTCATTGATGGGGCCACACGTTCGATTCTAGTCCTATTTAACGACTCTGGTGCTCAAAACGCGTCTAGAGTTTCAGCCCTCTGCGCCGGCCTTCTGGCCCACTGTGCGCTGCACGCGGGTCTGGTACGGAATTTGGCGCGGCAGTGCGAAAAGACTGCTCATGCACTTTTATTTTCTGTTAGTCATGTTTGTTTATTACTCGAATGATTGCGTCATGGGACGCGAGCGACTTTTCGGCAACAGCGCCGCGCTCCTTCGCAAATTATGGCAGTCTCTATCTCACCCTGGATTACATGGACTGCCGGCGCCCGAACGCGAAGATAGCCTTGAGCGGCGCGGGCGCTACAAAGGCGCGGCGTGTGCATCGCGGTGTGTGTGTGTGTGTGTGTGTGTGAGAGAGAGAGAGAGAGAGAGAGAGAGAGAGAGAGAGAGAGAGAGAGAGAGAGAGAGAGAGAGAGAGTTCACCACAGCTGTGGAAGCTTTGGCGGGATGGGTCCGTTCCGGCCGTTGGCCCCGTGATGTGCTTTCAAAGCTTTCGTTGCCGCTGTCCGACGCAACGTCTTGTCCCCTGGCAGGGCATGAGTGCTCATTTATGCATCAGAGGGCGGGAGGGGAAGGCGAGGGGAGGAGGTAGGAGTGGGGAGGGGGAGGGGGAGGTTCGCGTCAAGGTAGTGCTGGGTTGCGGGCCTACCGGGGGATGGGCCTGGCTGCTTGCCTTGTTCCGGCCGCTTGGCCCCGTGTGTGCTTTCAGCTTTCTGCCTGCATGTCCCTGACGCAACGTCGCTTTCGCCTGGCAGGCTGCATGACCGTGCCATTCTCATGCACTCATGCTAGTGCCGCTGATGATCCTGCGTGCGTAAGCTGGTGCTGTGATGCCGGGTGGTGAGTGAGTTGCAGCCAAGGTAGTCTGTGCTGTGCTTGCTAGCCTACCCCTGGGTGGCCTGCCTGCCTGCCTGCCTGCCTGCCTGCCTGCCTGTCTGCCCGAGGGCTGGCCTGCTGGTCAAGGCGGTTCACTGGACGGGCATGGCAGGGCAACCTCACTCGGTCCGTCCCACGCAACCCCGCGCGATTCGCCACTCCGTCTCTGTCGCACTCACGGGGCTCGCGGCAAGCCCGCAAGGGTGCGAGAGAGACAGAGCGACAAAGCGCTCTCTTCTGAGAATCGCTGGGCGTTCCACGACGACGAGGACGTCGGCACGCCTTCCCTTTCTATCGATTAATATAAAAGGTGGCGCTTGAATCTTTCATCCCTCCGCGCGGCGCTCGGCGCGGGCCGCTGACTCTCTTTGGCCTTTGGCCCCGAAAACGAGAGAAGGGAAACGGAAAACGGACAGCCGGCCGCAGTGTAGTGCTCCATGACTCCGCGACACTCAGTGGGCTGGAAGACCGGCGCAGGCGGCCAGAAGTCTGGACGCGTTTGGAGCTCCAGAGTCCCTAAACAGGACTCGAACCGAACGTGTGATTCCATCAATAGATTATCCTCGTTCGGAGCGCAATCCCGCGTTCGGTTCGAGTCCCATTTAGCGACTCTGGGAGCTCAAAACGCGTCCGGGATTTTGACCGCCTCCACCGGCCTTCTGGCCCACTGCGCGCGACACGGGCCCGTGCGGTGTACGTACGCCTCGCGTGGACCGGGCGCATCCCGAACCAGCCCGAACAGTGCCTCGTCGCTCTGTCTCTCTCGCACTCATGGGACGTTCCGAATGGAATGCGAGAGAGACAGAGCGACGCAGAGCGGCCAAAGCGCAGTTCGGAATCGGCCTGCAGGCGGTCCGTGGACATATGTGTGCCGTGCGGTGCCGTGCGAGGGGACCACCAAATCAGTTCAGGAGGAGGCCCTGTGTCTGTCTCGCTCTGTCTCTGTATCTCTGTCTCTCTCTCTGTCCCTCTGTCTCTCTCTCTCTCTCTCTGTCTCTCTCTCTCTCTCTCTCTCTCAGTCTATGTCTGTCTCTCTCGCCACCGCACTGCCGCACCGTGTCGCCGCGGAGCCACACGCAAGCGGCAAGGCTCCCTTTAGCAGGTTCAAGTGCGCGGAGCACGCGACCGCAGAGGCGGGGCGGGGTGTGGCGGGGGTGTGGCGGGCTGGGGCGGGGCGAGGTGACCGTTCCGAGAGCCCCCGTCTTGAGCCAGGTTTATTCAGGGTTAGTTGAGCATCGAGCCGGTGAAGCGGTTCCCACTGGTCAGATCAATCAGCACGTATCGACCACCGCCGCCTGCCGCCCCGCCGTGACCGCGCCTTGGGCAGCGCGGAGCAGGGCCACCACACTTGCAGGCAAAAATGCCCAAGACGCTCCAATCCGCTCCGGTGTCGACAGGCTTGCCAATATCCAACCTGCCCAACCAGACGAAAACCCAAGAGAAAATCGTATATATT